TTGGAACATCTTGGTTAATTGTGTTTGCTATATCATATACACAAGCTGGCAAACCTTGTTATAAATTGAACACGTATTTTAATATATAATACTTATTTTTAAAGTAAACTGTGACTGGACCGGCTGCAATAGGTTGTACAATCAGACCTGGGAAAGTCATACAACAAACAACTGGCGGAAGCATGATTATACTCTGGGTTTTAAAAGGCTGGAAACCTCAGAGTAAGGTAAAGTCTGCTACGTGGATCAGGCACAATTACTAAATCCACACCATTGCCTCTATAGGAATTGATGAACTCTACTAACCTGACTAAGGAAGTTAATTAACCTCTACTGCACAGCTCAAGATCTTGTTACCATAGAGGGAAACAAGACTGAACTTGACTACTGATGAGAGTTGACAGGTCATTCTCTGCATCTGACTCAATACTTTAACTATATAGTAGTTAGCTCAGCTGGGTCAGGAATCAGAATTGCTGATTCTTGTTCTAGTTCCTTCCTAGTGTGATAATGTTTTAATTAGTTAATATGTATCGTTCTTTCAACTTGGTCCTCAAACACACCTTTTATAACAAAATTAACAGGACCTGCTCTCTTAATAACTATAAGAGTACCGCCATCTAGGTGCAAATTTTCTACTCTGGCGGGTGCCGCTTCATTTACTCTCAACACGAGGCCGTCCTCTTTTAATGCGAGAAGTCGTACTTTCCTCTCATAGTACTAAGCATAACGATCTCATGCTGTGTTGGAAACTTCAGCTGCCTCTCAAAGTATTTTTCATCCTAAAGATGACCTCTGAAGGATAATCCTCTCCATACACAACATTATGTAAGTTAAACAGACCAGATGGGAAGTAACAGGAATGTCCGGTGAACAGCAGGAGTTGGGTGTTAATTGATTGATGTATAGCAATATTCAAAACTAGCTGCACATAGGCTAGTTGTTCATCCCAAGTGGTGGCAACATTCTCTGCAAGAATTGCAAGCATATTTATTACTGAACGATTGGTTCGTCTCGTCATTCCGTTCGTCTGAGGATTGAGAGAGAGAGTCTATCGATTATTTCTGTGTTGCTTGTTAAGTTTTCTCTGGTAATGGTCTGGTTGTGAGAGGAGATTACAGGTTCCTCGATGGAGCCCTGTTGTTTGTGCATTGTTAATCGCCTAGAAAGAGACGTTGTTGTCATGCCTATATACTGAGATCTTCGGGGCTGACAGTCCCCAAGTGGACATTTAAAAGGCATAGACTACGTTGGTTTCTTTCAACGCGTTCTGTTTGGTGTCCGGAGAGTTTCTCATAAGGAATATATAATCTCCTCTCACAACCAGACCATCGCCTGAGAAATCTTAACAAGCAACACAGAAATCATTGATAGATACAACGATAGCAGGAGACTCGACATCAGCGAGACACTACACATCAAAGTCAACACCAGCAATCAACTGCCAATTAACAATTGCTGGTGTTTACTTTTTGATGTGTAGAGCCTCGCAGATGTCGAGCCGCCTGCTATCGCTGTACCTATCGATGATTTCTGTGTTGTTTGTTAAGACTTCTCTGGTGATGGTCTGGTTGTGAGAGGAGATTATATGTTCCTTTATGGAACTCTGTTGTTTATGTATTTTTAATCGCCTGGAAAGAGACGTTGTTGTCTTGCCTATATACTCAGTTCTTTGGGGCTTACAGTCCCCAAGTGGGCAATTGAAAGTATAGACGACGTTGGCTTCTTTCAAGGCATTCTGCTTTGTGTTTGGAGATTTTTTCATGAAAAAATGAAAAAATTCTTTTTTTCTTATGGAAAACTCGAGGGGAAAAAAAGGAGGCACTACACATCAAAAAGTCAACACCAGCAATCAACAGCCAATTAATGCACAACTATATTCTACCCACTTCAAGACTCCACACCAATATAGAAGCATCAGGAGGAAGTATGGGCCAATAGGCCCTCTGCAGTCACTTCCATTCTTATGCTCTCATATTAAATGAATACCTACAGTTTCGTGTTCTGTCTTGTATTTGTCACAAGTTTGTTCGCCCCATCCATAACTGTTGCAACATATCACCTCATCCAAATGCGAGAATAAGTATCACGGATTAGCTGACTCTGTTTAGTGTTTTCAAGTTACAGTTGTATGTGTGAACTAAAGTCTTTGAAAATGTAATAAGTTATTACGAAACGCGTTCAAGCTTTGCGTCAGACTAGATATATAAATGAATTTTGGAGAATTGATTTTTTAATTACCATTGCCAGAAAAAAAAACAGGAAATATTGAGAAAATTCGTGTTTGAATTATTAATCTCACTTTTTTGGTCATATTTAACAACATATGTTTACAAGAAAGAATGATACCAAAGTATACTAAAACATATACACACATATATATATATATATATATATATATATATATATATATATATATATATATATATATATATATATATATATATATATATATATATATATGTCGTACCTAGTAGCCAGAACGCACTTCTCATCCTACTATAGAAGGCCCAATTTGCCTAATAAGCCAAGTTTTCATGAATTAATGGTTTTTCGTCTACCAAACCTAACCTAACGTTTTCGGCTACCTAACCTAACCTAACCTATAAAGATAGGTTAGGTTAGGTTAGGTAGGGTTGGTTAGGTTAGGTCATATATCTACGTTAATTTTAACTCCAATAAAAAAAAATTGACCTCATACATAATGAAATGGGTAGCTTTATCATGTCATAAGAAAAAAATTAGAGAAAATATATTAATTCAGGAAAACTTGGCTTATTAGGCAAATCGGGCCTTGCATAGTAGGCTGATAAGTGCGTTCTGGCTACTAGGTACGACATATATATATATATGTTGTACCTAGTTGCCAGAACGTCGTACTCGGCCTACTATGCAAGGCCCGATTTGCCTAATAGGCCAAGTTTTCCTGAATTTATTTATTATTCAATATTTTTTTCTTAGAGAATGATAAAGCAATCATTTCTTTTTGAAATTTGAGATAAAACTAACGTAGATATAAGACCGAATCTAACCAATCCTACCTACCTAATCTAACCTATGTTAACTTAACCTAAACTAACACAATTAGGTCAATAAATTTTGTTCTTAATATAATATGATAATAGTAATTCAAATAAACTAATTGGAAAAAAATTATTGAAAATAAAGAAAGTCACTCGGCCTATTAGGCAAATCGTATGTATGATTTGTATGTATGTTATGTATGAGAAGTATGTTATGGCTACTATGTACGACATATATATATATGTATATATATATATATATATATATATATATATATATATATATATATATATATATATATATATATATATATATAGTATAGGCAAATTGATCAGCGCTACAAAAGACCAGAGAGCAAAAAGTTTTTTGTTCCAGCGCCTCAGTGTTGCGATCCAAAGGGGAAATGCCTGTTGCGTCTTGGGCACTGGTCCAACTTCGGGAGAATTCGAAGAAGTATTTGACTTGCAACAATGATCGAACCCGTCTGTGACATTCATCAATGTTTCCCATTGTCGTGTTTTTCAAGAGATCCTTTAAGCACCTTTTTGTATTACTTTTATATCAACTCATGTGCATTTTGTAACCATCAAATACATAATAAAGCACAAAAGAGGAAGGGGGTGGTAGGAGAAAAGCACACAGAAACTGTATTGGAGGGGATCTAAACATTCCCTCTGATGCGTTATGTGTGGTTTCCTCCGAGGCTATGGGTCCCCCTTCTTCCAGTCAGAGGTGGTACTCCCTTCCCTAATTTATATATATATATATATATATATATATATATATATATATATATATATATATATATATATTATATAAATTATATATATATATAAATTATATATATATATATTTATATATATATATTTATATATATATAAATTATATATATATATTTATATATATAAATATATAAATAATATATATATATATATATTTATATATATAAATATATAAATAATATATATATATATATATATATATATATAAATATATAAATTATATATATATATATTTATATATATATAAATTATATATATATATATATATATATATATATATATTTATATATATAAATAATATATATATATATTTATATATATATAAATAATATATATAAATATATAAATAATATATATATATATAAATATATAAATAATATATATATATATATATATATATATATATATATATTTATATATATATATAAATAATATATATAATATATATATATATATAAATAATATATATATATATATATATATATATATATATATATATATATATATATATATATATATATATATATATATATATATATATATATATATATATATATATATATATGTGTGTGTGTGTGTGTGTGTGTGTGTGTGTGTGTGTGTGTGTGTGTGTGTGTGTGTGTGTGTGTGTGTGTGTGTGTGTATCACGAAAATAAACGTGATTAAAAATGTGACATTGTCAGACCACGGAGGAAAATTGAAACAGGAATTTCCTTAAGTACTTTCGTATATTAATACATCTTCAGAAGGAACGTATTAATATAGGAAAGTAATATTAATACATTCCAATTATAATAATAAATATTAATACATAATATTATGTAATATAATATACATTCCTTCTGGAGATGTATTAATATACGAAAGTACTGATGGAAATTCCTGTTTCAATTCTTCCTTCGTGGTCTGACAATGTCATATATATATATATATATATATATATATATATATATATATATATATATATATATATATATATATATATATATATATATATATATATATATATATATATATATATATATTTATACTTTCTGGTCTGTCATTTAGGTTAAGTGGCACGTTGGAATAAAGCCTCATTACATACGACGTGATGGATAGTAGGTGAAACACCTGCAGGTTTCAACTCCACGGCGACGTTTATATTCCAAAAGAACTATAAAAGAGCAACCCAAACACCTGAGCAACACACTTGCCTCCTGGATCAGGATGATGAAGGTGGTAGTAAGAGCGCTGCTGCTGCTGGTGGTGGTGTCGTCACAAGTTCAGGTTAGTTCACAAACATTTTGAAGTACCAACAAACGATATTATGCTTCGGTCCGTTAGTGTACAAACTTGTTGATGTACAACAGAATGTATCAAGAAACTGTAGCTTAAGATATTTCTTACTTCGTTCATATACTCATGACTAACTTTCATATTTTATATTCAAGTATTCTGGAAGCAATATCCTTATTATTAATAATAAAATTTAGTTTCAAACTTTTAAATCGATTCAGTTGAAGAACAAATTATCTTGTATTTGAACTAGTTGACTCACATCAGCAAGTTATTCTTAACTTCTCCCATCACTCTTCATAATAAACCCAAATATCAGTAAATTTACTGATAAAGAAAATTTAAATAATTATTTTTGTATTTTCATTGGGATTTAATTAAATCTAAACCGACCCCAATTTTTCCTTCTAAGATTCATCTAAAAATCAAAAACATTTTCCCATTTATCAAAAAGCGGTACTAAACACCGACTAGACCTGGTGACTGTTTTATTGCGTTATAAACATCTGATTATTTACAGATATTTGTCGAACAAAAGATATTGGGAAGGATTAGTGATGATATATTGTGGCGGGGGTTGTTGTATGAATACTCGTTTGACGGATAGTTGTATGAATAGTCGGTAACGGGGTGGTTGTATGAATACTCCCGTGACGGGGTGGTTGTATCAATACTCTGGTAACGGGGTGGTTGTATCAATACTCCCGTGATGGGGTAGTTGTATAAACATTTACCAATTTCTTTATCCCGCCTGTTCTAACACACATTGTCCCGATATACAAGAAAGGAGACAGACAGGAGGCACTGAACTACAGGCCAGTATCCCCAACTTGCATACCATGCAAGTTGATGGAGAAGATTGTGCGGAAAAAGCAGGTGGAACATCTGGAGCAAAGGAACTCAACTTTGTGACACAACATCAACATGCCTTCAATAATGGCAAGTCATGCCTCACAGGATTAATTGAATTCTACGATCGGACAACAAAAATCAGTCAAGAAAGATAGGATGTTCAGACTGTATATTTTTGGATTACCAGAAAGCCTTTGTCACAGTACCACGCAAGAGACTAGTGCAAAAGCTGGAGATGTCGGCAGGAGTGAAACGGAAAGTACTCCATTGGATAAGGGAGAACCTAAGTAACAGAAGCCAGCAAGTCAATATGACGGGTGAGACCTCAGATTGGCGAGGAATCACTAGTTGAATCCCGCAGGATTCAGTCCTTGGACTGAACTGCTTCTGATATATGTAAATGATCTCCCAGAGGGTATAGAATCGTTCCTCTCATTGTTTGCTGATGATGCAAAAATTATGTGGAGGATTAAGACGGAGGAAGATAGTATGAGGTTACAAGATGACCTAGACGAACTGAATGAATAGTCCAACAAATGGCTACTAAAGTTCAACCCGAGTAAACGAAAGGTAATGCAGCTAGGCAGTGGAAACAGGAGGCCAGACACAGGATACCGAATGGGAGATGAAGTCTTTCATGAAACGGACCGAGAAAAAGATCTAAAAGTTGACATCACACCAAATTTATCTCCTGAAGCCCACATCAAAAGAGTAACATCTGAGGCGTTCACAAGGCTGGCTAACATCAGAACTGCCTTCAGGAACCTGTGCAAGGAATCATTCACAACCTTGTATACCACATATGTAAGACCAATCCTGGAGTATGCGGCCCCAGCATGGAGTCCGTACCTTGTCAAGCAAAAGACGAAACTGCAAAAAGTTCAGAGGTATGCCACTAGGCTAATCCCAGATCTAAGAGGCATGAGTTACGAGGAAAGGCTGCATGAAATGCACCTCACGACACTGGAAGACATAGGAGTAGGTAGAGACATGATCAATACCTACAAAATTCTCAGAGGAATTGACAAGGAAGATAAACAAATTGTTTAGCACGGGTGGTATGCGAACAAGGAGACAGATGGAAACTGAGTACCCAAATGAGCCACAGGGATGTTAGAAAGAACATTTTCAATGCCTTGTGAAATGCATTAGGCAGTGATGTGGTGGAGGCAGTCTCCATACACAGTTTTAAATGTAGATATGATAGAGCCTAGTAGGCTTAGGCATCTGAACACCAATTGATTGACAGTTGAGAGGCAGGACCAAAGAGCCAGAGCTCAACCCCCGCAAGTACAACTAGGTGAGTACACTGTAACCTCTTTGTTAAAAGCACTATCGAAGACATGGATACTAATAAGGTACTTTCGTGTTGAACTTCTTGCCCGTCAACCACGGGAGGGTAACCACAAGATCTGACTGAATAGCTGACTACAAACATAGTTCAAGTCAAAAATACACTGTTTATACAATGTAGTTGTATGAAAATATAACAACTGTCGTATTTTCATAGAACCTCAGAGGTATCTTTTAGGTAGGGGTACCTACCTCTAGACACAAGTAACAACATAACAAGGGATCACTGAAATTAACACCACGAAAGATTACTGAACTAATAATAGGAATGCGGCAAAAAATATGAAAATTGTAATTGTCTCCAGTAATTATATGTTTATTATGGAGAAATTTAAGATAAAATGTAAAATGTTAACAATAGTTATCTGTGCAGGGCGGAAAGAGGGACTGTGAGGCGGCTGGCGGGAGATGTGTTCACGCCAAAGCCTGTGACGTCACCTCTTCTCAACATGGCTGCCAGGGGCAAGATGAAGTCTGCTGCATTAACACTCCATCACGCGGTGAGGCTTTACCATTCACTTCTGAGTTTATACTTTAAATATTTCTGAACACGTTGACGTTTCATGTAAGAATATCTTGCATATTATGTGTTTAAGTCGTATATTTATACCTCCCGAAGTTCCAGTACTCTGTCACACTTGCTCTTGAAGCCGTGGATGGTGGCAGTTTCATCACCACCTCTCGTTCAAGTTCCTTCCATTTGTATATCACTCTTACTGAATACCAGTATTTCCTTCCATATTTCTGGCCCTACTGTTTCCAACTTCCAACAGTTTCCACTCTTTCTGTTGTCCCTCACTTGGAAATATGAATCTGTCCACTTTGACTACTCCCCTTAACATATTGTACATTATGATTACAGTAGATACCATTGTCGTTTGATTTCATTTTCCTAGCTTTCCTCGTGGCCCTTTTGTTATATCTGGTACATGTTTAGTAGCTATCTGCTAAGAAAAACATATAGTTATTAAGTAACAGGTTCCATGCTGGAGCTGCATATTCTAGAACTGGCCTACCATACGCGCAGTACTGAAACCTAAAGGATTTCTTGCTTGCGTTCTTGAACGCCATCCTTATGTTTGTTCGTTTTGAGTAGGATAATATTTGCCTTTAAGACTAGTGTTTTGTCCAATAACTGGACAAAACTGTTTTGTCCTGTAACTGGTACCATCGTTGACTGTACTTCTGGTCTCTTCTCCCATCTCACAAACCTCAGTACATCCCAATTGTGTTTAAATAAACCCCAGTAAACCATTTAACCCCCAATTCTTGTAGTGGTCCTAACACCGAACCCTGAATTACATTTCACCTTTGTAAATGCACATTAATGACACTATGTAAAAGACACATCGAACACTTTATGTAGGGCATACGTAAACCTGTGTATCTATGTATTTACGTATGTAGGTTAGCTTAGCATTTTAAAAGCACCGAATCACCTTCTGTGGTTGATTGTTCAATAAACCCCTAAACTATATGTTTAACACATCTCTAACCCTGTCCATCGAGGACAGAAGAAAATGTATATATGCTGATTAGCACTGTAAATGTGTGGCCACGTCTGTGGTAGAAAATAATAAAAAAAACTAACCCTGCGGGTAAACCGCTTGTTACCTCCCTCTAATCTTGACACTTCCTCCGTCATAACCTTCATTTTTTGTTTGCAAGTAACTATGTAATATGGGCCAGTACCTTCTCAGATGCATATTAGTGTGAATGAGTAGATTGTATTGCACGTGTCTATTCTAATCATACTCTGCTCACATATATTCAACAGAGAACAGGAACGTAAAGATAAATAGAACCTCCGGAGAAAAAAAGATTGAGAGGAAACGGAAGCCACTCAAAAGAAATAAGAACAAGAGAATTAGCAAGAAAGCATACAAGCTCAAGGAGCCCAAAGATAAAGTGAGGAAGCTGAGAGCTGGTCGCCAGGACACCAGAGATGAAGGTGACGACAAATACGGAGGAGGAGGCAACACTTGCGAGGATACGGGCGGACGGTGTCACCCCAAGAAATACAAGTGTAAGAAGATTAAAGCCAAGGGATGCGCAAGAGGAGAAAAATGCTGTAAGTACTCGTGAGCGGGTGTGTGTGTGTGTTTACTAGTTGTGTTTTGCGGGGGTTGAGCTTTGCTCTTTCGGCCCGCCTCTCAACTGTCAATCAACTGTTTACTAACTACTTATTTATTTTTTTTTCCCACACACCACACACACACCCCAGGAAGCAGCCCGTGACAGCTGACTAACTCCCAGGTACCTATATACTGCTAGGTAACAGGGGCACTTAGGGTGAAAGAAACTGCCCATTTGTTTCTGCCTCGTGCGGGAATCGAACCCGCACCACAGAATTACGAGTCCTGCGCGCTATCCACCAGGCTACGAGGCCCCTGTGTGTGTATAACCGGATGCTCTCCGATCAGTGATGATTTCAAACACTAATAATAATTCATGCAGTAAATATTACATGACAAAGCTGCCGAGAACTCATTTACTAGGATTATTAACCAATGATCTCTTGTGCTTCTTTATTTAATTATATACTTTCAGAAGTGATCTTTAACTCCTGGACTTCGCCATTTATTCGCCTGTCGTCTTTAGCAATAGATCAGACCTCTCTTGCTATTTATTATTTTCAAACAAATAAAATATATATATGCAACAATGATCACAAAAACACTGATCCAAGTATGCAGAAAAACCGCAGGTGAAAAAGAGAGAATGCTTAACGCGTTTTCGGCTAATTCGCCTTCATCAGAGCAAAGTACAATGAAGCTGCTTTCAAAAGTGATCTCATAGAATTCTCTATTTTTCACATGTGCTTTCTCTGCAAACAATAATATATACATATATATATATATATATATATATATATATATATATATATATATATATATATATATATATATATATATATATATAAAACACCTCTGATCAAACTGTAGGGACACATAGCCCCGGAGGACTTTGAATGTGAATGTTAAGAGGAAATATAGGATATTAAGAGGAAATGTTTCCTAATGCCTTCAACCAATATCCTTCAGAAACCTCCCTGCATTCTCTCCCCATGGACCAAGAGTCTCTGATCCAATTGGAATAACGTTGCCATCCTTTTATAATATGAATTGTGCACTGAAGGCGAATTGACTTATGCATATTTTACTTACAGGTGAAGGAACGAATGGTGGACCAGCACATCATGGTGGACCAGCACACCATGGTGGTATGGTGGGTCCCCCTGGTCACCCAGGTCGCCCTGGAGATGATGGAAAACCAGGTCCTCCAGGTCCTGCAGGTCCTGTTGGTCCTGCAGGTCCCCAAGGTCCTCCCGCAAAAGACGGAGTGCCTGGCACAAACGGTACTAACGGTATAGATGGAGTTCCTGGCATAAACGGTACTCAAGGCAAGGATGGCTCTCCTGGAGTGGCCGGTCCTCCAGGCAATGATGGCGCTCCTGGTATGGTCGGTCCTCCAGGCATGAACGGTTCACCAGGCCAGAATGGCATTCCGGGCAAGGACGGTGCTAATGGCACAAACGGTGCACCCGGTATGGACGGTGCTCCAGGCTTGCCCGGTCATCCAGGCAGGAGGGGAGAGCCAGGCACCAACGGTATTCCAGGTACTAATGGTTCTAACGGCAAAGACGGTGTTCCAGGTACTAATGGCGTTAATGGAACTAACGGCAAAGACGGTGCTACAGGAGCTCAAGGGTTCCAAGGTTTCCCAGGTCTTCCAGGTCCTCCAGGAGTCAATGGCATTAACGGTGCTAACGGAGCACCAGGTTTTAATGGTACTAATGGTCTACCAGGTTCTCAAGGTCCTCCAGGATCTATAGGTGCATCAGGACCTCCTGGACCAGCAGGATCTGCAGGACCACCAGGAGCCACAGGGTCTCAGGGAGCTGTAGGTCCTGTAGGCCCAGCAGGACCTGCAGGAGCAAATGGAACAAATGGTGCACCTGGACCGCCAGGAGCACAAGGAGCTACTGGAGTTCCAGGACCATCAGGAGCTTCTGGAGCTACTGGAGCTCAAGGAGCAACTGGTGCTATAGGTCCAAGTGGACCTCAAGGAGTAAGTGGGCCTCCAGGTCCTTCAGGGCCTCCAGGAGCTACTGGTGGTACTGGACCACCTGGGCCCCCAGGACCTTCTGGTCCCCCAGGTTCAAACAGTCCTCCCGGAAACTCAGGAGGAGGAGCATCATTAGGTAAGAAGTAAAAGTTGTCCTTCAAACTGCAAACCGAAGTTTTGCAGCTAAGGTGACTGAACTGTTGGAAAAAGTGGGAATGTAATACCCATTTGGTAAATTGATTACGTATATGGATGAACACCTAGAGCCAGGATAACTGAGAAGATACATGGATCAACACCCACAGTCAGGCCTACAGGAAGGTACATGGATCAACACCCACAGTCAGGACTACAGGAAGGTACATGGATCAACACCCACAGTCAGGACTAGAGGAAGGTACATGGATCAACACCCACAGCCAGGACTACAGGAAGGTACATGGATCAACACCCACAGCCAGGACTACAGGAAGGTATATGGATCAACACCCACAGTCAGGGCTACAGGAAGGTACATGGATCAACACCCACAGTCAGGACTACTTGAAGGTACATGGATCAACACCCACAGTCAGGACTACAGGAAGGTACATGGATCAACACCCACAGCCAGGACTACAGGAAGGTACATGGATCAACACCCACAGTCAGGACTACTGGAAGGTACATGGATCAACACCCACAGTCAGGACTACTGGAAGGTACATGGATCAACACCCACAGTCAGGACTAAAGGAAGGTATATGGATCAACACCCACAGTCAGGACTACTGGAAGGTATATGGATCAACACCCACAATCAGGTCTACATGTGTAGAGGTGAATGGCTCCACAACCTGTAACTCGTTACTAAGCAATGAGAACAAATGCACTGCATGCTGTATACTACAGTTGAGTTCTCTATATTTTATTTGATGGTTTTTGTTGTCTGTTCCACAGGTAATTTCTTTCAAAGTTGTTATTATATTTGCTTTACCAGCTGACTCATATAGAAGTGAAAGTGTCTCTACACCAAAACTGTCACCAGGTATTGCATTACTTGGGTTGTTACCAGTTTTTTGCATTAGTTATCATGTCATCAATTATTGTATTAGCTGAGTTATCAACTGCTTTGTTTGCTGACGAAAACGTACCCAAATGTTGTTATTCATACAATTTATTAAGTTTAGTGATATCTAAAATATATAAATTGTTTTTTTCTGTGGAACTTTATGATTGGGTTGTAATATATATATTTGAATAAAATTTGCATATCAGTAATGTATATTTTTTCCTTACATTATTTTTAAAACATTTTACTAACGTGTACAAGCATAGACAAAACTCATAACAACAATCATAGACATATTGTAGTATATGGTGAGCTTTATTTACGAAAGATCACCATACCTAATAGTCAGAATCGCACAAGTGAGCCTTGGAAGCATGGATTGTTTTCCTTTGTGTCCAGAGCCTCAGTGCAGAAGTCAGTGTATACCTAATGGAATTACAATATTATATTATTGAGTTTAGTTTTATATTGAAGCTTAATTCTTTCATCATTTAAAAAAGTCTTGGAACATCTTGGTTAATTGTGTTTGCTGTATCAAATACACAAGTTGGCAAACCTTGTTATAAATTGAACACGCATTTAAATACATAATACTTATTTTTAAAGTAAACTCGCTATTAGTTATGATAAATATGTATCGTTCTTAATAATAAGACTTATTCTACTTAATCTCCTTGGGAAAGTCTTAAAAAATGACAGCTGTTGTCGGCCTGTCGCCTCCGGGTGGACCTCGCTAAGGAGGCACGGGGGTCATAACTTATCTCATAGCTCGCAAGCAGTCATGATGGAAGAGACTGTTAGAGAAGTCTGTCAAACAGTAGAGCAGAGCTTCGACGTACAACTGTCTCTCGGGACGGGAGTAGACATCTTGCGGAGTTGAAGTGGATGGTGTAGTGGCAGGACAGGTGGGTCCCGACCTCAGCTCCTGGGTGACGTCATCTTACGGCGTTTACTTATTGTCACAGAACTACTTGCCGAAACACCTTCCGTGTATACCCTCGTGCAGCTGACTTAGGGCCGATGGTGCAAGCGTGCATCCTGTTGGTGAGTCAACAGCACTCTGAAGGGAGACCTTGCCTTTGGTAACGTGATCACCTCGTTACACTTCCGGTTACATCAGATGACGTAGCCATAGATGTGAAGACGGGACTGATAAGTACTGCAACTGGCATACTTCTTCGCGAGCCTCTCTCCATTCACTTCCGGTTTGCCTGCACTCTTGACGACGCGGCTGCTGGACGTTGATGACATTGAGGCAGCTGACCCACGATGATTTTAATTGTTGACAACTGGCAACTGCTCCGTGTTGACAGCATTTTGGGGCCAGGACAACCTCGTTAATGACAGGTGTCAGCCGGGTGACTGGTGTAATTATCACCCACCCAGGTAACCAATTGACAAGTTACCGGGTTTGGTGGGGGAGGATTTTCTGTAATGGACCTCCCCGATCTTATCAGAAGGGAATGTCAAGCCAATCCCACTGACCTCGATCATGATTTTACCTGTGACTGGACCGGCTGCAATAGGTTGTACAATCAGACCTGGGAAAGTCATACAACAAACAACTGGCGGAAGCATGATTATACTCTGGGTTTTAAAAGGCTGGAAACCTCAGAGTAAGGTAAAGTCTGCTACGTGGATCAGGCACAATTACTAAATCCACACCATTGCCTCTATAGGAATTGATGAACTCTACTAACCTAACTCTACTAAACTGACTAAGGAAGTTAATTAACCTCTACTGCACAGCTCAAGATCTTGTTACCATGAGGGGTAACAAGACTAAACTTGACGTCTGACCTGATGTCAGACGTCTGCAGGAGCTGAAGGAGGCATTCGAGCGGAATTCTGTGTTGAGTTTCACCAACGAGATGGAGAAGGATGGGAAACTACCCTTTCTAGATGTAATAGTCACGGAAAGGAGCGGAGGGTTCCACACTGCAGTCTACACTAAGGAATCACACATAGGAATGTGCCTCAATGCCAATAGTGACTGCCCAGACAGGTACAAAAGGAGTGTTGTCAACGCTTACGTCGACCGTGCTCTCAGCCACAGCTCAGGATGGAAGCAAGTCGATGAAGAACTCTGTAGGGTAAAGCAGGTCCTAGTCAACAACGGTTCTTCTAATGGTTTTGTTGACGACATCATAAAAAGAAAGGTAAAACGTCATGAAACCTCTGACGAGTCAACTAACACAACACATGTACCCCCTATTAGACTATTTTACAGGATGTTCTTTTCGACAGCTCATAAAACGGAGGAAAGGGTCCTGAAAGATATTGTTGATAGGAACGCTATCCTTACAGACAAAAAACTGAAAATACAATTGACGATTTACTATAAAACAACAACAAAAAAACACGGCCAACCTACTCATGAAAAACTCTCCAGATACAAAGCAGAATGCCTTGAAGGAAACCAACGTCGTCTATGCCTTCAAATGCCCACTTGGGGACTGTAAGCCCCAAAGAACTCAGTATATAGGCAAGACAACAACGTCTCTTTCCAGGCGACTAACAATGCAAAAGCAACAGGGCGCCATCAAAGAACATATAATCTCCTCTCACAACCAGTCCATCACCAGAGAAGTCTTAACAAACAACACAGAAATCATCGATAGGTACAGCGATAGCAGGCGGTTCGACATCTGCGAGGCACTACACATCAAAAAGTCAACACCAGAAAATTAATGCACAACTATATTCTACCCACTTCAAGACTCCGAACCAACATAGAAGCATCAAGAGGAAGTATGGGCCAATAGGCTCTCTGCAGTTACTTCCATTCTTATGCTCCCATATCCAATTAATACCCCACAGTTTCGTGTTCTGTCTCGTATTTGTCACAAGTTTGTTCACCTCATCCAAAACTGCTGCACCATATCACCTCACCCAAATGCAAGTATAAGTATGACGTATTAGCTGACTCAAGTGTTTTCAGGTTACAGTTGTGAGTGTAAACTAAAGTCTTTGAAAATGTAATAAGTTATTTCGAAACGCGTTCAAGTGTTGCGTCAGACTAGAAATATAAATGAATTTTGGAGAATTGATTTTTCAATTACCATCGACAGTAAAAAGAAACATAAGAAATATTGAGAAAATTCGTGTTAGAATTATTATTCTTACTTTTCTGGTCACACACACACATATATATATATATATATATATATATATAT